TACTGGATCCTTTTCATTTACTAGATCAACACTACTGTCTGTTAAATTAGGAGGAAACGGTGTCGTTTTATGGAAAGTTTAATGCAGATGGTTTTTTAGCTCTGAAATATTTTTTTTTTTATATGTGTATTTATTGATTTTTAAGGGGGCATTATCACCCAGACAAAAAATATTCACACCAAAAAAAAACAATAGGTTTAAAAGTAAGGAAGGTTTATACCAAATTTATACCAAAATTACTTGTGGTTTTGAATTTTTTTTTTACAAAAAATGAATTAAAATATTAACAAATTAATTTATCGAAAAGAAAATGTTTCTATATTACTACCACTGTAAAAAAATTTGGCATGTGTATGTCTAATAGTTTTTTGTGTATGAATATTTTTGTTTCTCTTACTTAGTCTGGGTGATACTGCCCCCTTAAGAAAAAAGAAACCCTAGAATCGAGATGCAGATATCTTTTTACCCTTTTTTTTCAGCTGTTTTTACAGCAACTTTTGCTTCAGATGATGTTCTTGTTTTTACTGATGCTAACTTTGCCACAGAAGTGGCGAAATACGATGTAATGTTAGTCGAATTTTATGCACCCTGGTGTGGTCATTGCAAGCGATTGGCCCCAGAATATGAAAAGGCTGCCACAATTCTTAAGAAATCTGACCCACCTGTGCCTTTGGCGAAGGTAGATTGCACTGTTCCAAGTATGGTGTTAGTGGATACCCAACTTTAAAGATCTTTAATGTAGGAGAGTTCTTAAAAGAATATGAAGGGCCAAGAGAACCTTAGGGCATTTTCAAAACTATGAATAGAGAGGCTGGACCTGTTTCTAAGAAATTGGAAACTTTGGAAAATCTACGCAACTTCCTTGACAAAGACTCAGAGTTATTGGTTACTTTGATTCTGAAGATAGTGCAGAGGCTAAGACTTTCCTTAAAGTTGCTCACCAATTGTCAGATTTAAGATTTTCAAACACTGTTAATGAGAAAGTTAAGGCTGAGATGAAACAAGAATCTGAGGGTGTTGTGTTATACGGGCCTAAAATTTTGGAAAGTCAATTTGAAGATGCAGAAGTTAAATTTTCCGGTGCTGCCAAACTAAAGACCTTTTTGGGATCTCAAGCTCCTGGACTTTGTGCTGAACGTTCACAAGGGAATGCTGCTAATTTTCCAAAGCCTCAGATGGTGGCCTATTTTAATGTTGATTACACTAAGAATCCTAAAGGGACCAATTACTGGAGAAACAGAATAATGAAAGTTGGAAAACAACTGCGTGATAAAGGTGAACAAGTATATTTTGCTGTCAGTAACACTGAAGAGATGAGCAGGGAGCTGGATGAATGTGGTATTGAGGAAAAAGTTGGAGATAAGCCAGTTGTTTGTGCTTGGGATAGCTAAAACAAGAAATTCGAAATGACTGAAGCATTCAGTGTGGAGTCTTTTGAGCAGTTTGTTGTTGACTTTTTTGGCTGGCATTCCTTAAATCAGAGCCTGTTCCTGAGCCCTATGATGGCCCTGTAAAGGTTGTTGTTACTAAAAACTTTGATGAAATAGTAAACAATGAAGAAAAAGATGTCCTGATTGAATTTTATGCTCCATGGTGTGGCCACTGCAAGACTTTAGCACCAAAATGGATGCTACAGCAAATGATGTTCCATCACCTTATGATGTTAGAGGATTTCCCGCTATTTAATTTATTATACTCCAAAAGGCAACAAAAGTTCACCCAAGAAATAGGAGGGTGGCCGTGAGGTAGATGAGTTTATCAAATTTTTGAACAAGGAGTCAACTAATGGTCTGATTGGATACATCAGAGATGGCAAGAAGAAGAAGGAAAAGAATACAGAGTTGTAATGTTTGTTTTTGTTACTGTCCTATCGTATTCCACATTGTTGTTTGCATACAGCTTGAGTGAAATGTAAATGACTGTGTTTTAATAACTTACACAATTTGCCATTGTATAATTGTACTGTGTGAATTGTACTCCAGCTAAACATCTATGTTGTCAATTTATCATGAAGATCTTATATGATCACATTGGCTCATATCATTGATTAATGGTTGGCTGGTTTAGTATTTTGTATCTGATCTTCCAATTTTCATCTCATTTTGAAATGTTTTTTTTTTTAAATTTACATCAAAGCTAGAATATGGTACACTTGTATTGGTTCTAATTGTTTGGTACTGCTTCACTGGGTATTTGTGATTAAATATAACTATGTACATCATGTTATGCTGTTGTTTCTCCTTTTGGTATGGTCTGGTGCCAGTCAATGCTTCAAATGGTTTTCGTTTCCATTAAAAGACTACTCTCCCCACTCCCTCTACTGTAAGACTACTCTCCCCACTACCTCTACTGTAAGACTACTCTACCCACTACCTCTACTGTAAGACTACTCTCCCCACTCCCTCTACTGTAAGACTACTCTCCCCACTCCCTCTACTGTAAGACTACTCTCCCCACTCCCTCTACTGTAAGACTACTCTCCCCACTACCTCTACTGTAAGACTACTCTCCCCACTCCCTCTACTGTAAGACTACTCTCCCCACTACCTCTACTGTAAGACTACTCTCCCCACTACCTCTACTGTAAGACTACTCTCCCCACTACCTCTACTGTAAGACTACTCTCCCCACTACCTCTGCTGTAAGACTACTCTCCCCACTCCCTCTACTGTAAGACTACTCTCCCCACTACCTCTACTGTAAGACTACTCTCCCCACTACCTCTGCTGTAAGACTACTCTCCCCACTACCTCAACTGTAAGACTACTCTCCCCACTACCTCAACTGTAAGACTACTCTCCCCACTACCTCTACTGTAAGACTACTCTCCCCACTACCTCTACTGTAAGACTACTCTCCCCACTACTTCTACTGTAAGACTACTCTCCCCACTACCTCTACTGTAAGACTACTCTCCCCACTACCTCTGCTGTAAGACTACTCTCCCCACTACCTCTGCTGTAAGACTACTCTCCCCACTACCTCAACTGTAAGACTACTCTCCCCACTACCTCAACTGTAAGACTACTCTCCCCACTACCTCTACTGTAAGGCTACTCTACCCACTACCTCTACTGTAAGACTACTCTCCCCACTACCTCTACTGTAAGACTACTCTCCCCACTACCTCTACTGTAAGACTACTCTCCCCACTACCTCTACTGTAAGACTACTCTCCCCACTACCTTTACTGTAAGACTACTCTCCCCACTACCTCTACTGTAAGACTACTCTACGAGCTTGTTTTCTTGTGCTATTACCGTAGCTTACCTAGTAAAGGTCAGTCTTTGTGGTAGACTGAAAACGTAGACATGTGCAATTGACCCAACACGTAATCGCTGGACCCTAAAGGACAGACCTACTGAACTTTGAAGTACTAAGCCAATCTACTTTAGACATACAAGCTTTGTGGTGATGTTTTTTTTTTAAAAAAAGGACGTTAAATCTGGCAGCGTTAAAAAATTAAAACAAGTTTTTAAAATAAAACGTTTAACCACTGAGCAATTAAAATGCCTCTGGCAGCAGGGGTAGGGTGTGTCAGAGGCGTAGCTAGGGGGGGGGGGGGGAACGACCCTAGGGGGGGGATAAATTTTAAAAGCTGATTTTATGCTGCAGTTTTGAATTATAAAAAGTTAAGAAATGTAATGGCTACACGCCTTCACATACTGGTTTAACTGTTTTCTACTTTGATTATCAACTGTAAAACATACTCTTAAGAAACAGTGACTGGCTAAACTGCTTTCCAGCTTTTCCTAGATGTCGGGGGGGGGGGGGAGACTAAAATGGGAAGAATTTACACTAGATTGGTGAGTATATAAGCGTTACTACTTATAAAAACAACCAATTGTATTTAAACGTAGTGTACGATTTTTAACCGTAAAATACTTTAGTGACTTATCAAAAAGGGGGTGGGGGAGGATTGTTTTTAGGCTAACTAAAATTGCAAAATTACACTGAATTAAAAAAAAACAGCCTTAAGCGATTAGAAAAGAAACTAATTGTACTAAAGTGCATTGTACGATTATGTAACATTCTTTTTTAAAAAGTTAGTAACATTAAAACCCCCTTTAAAACGTTGTCCAAGATGGTTTGGAGGCGTGTGTGTATGTGTGTGTTGTACACCTGTGTGATGGTGGATGGTTGCTGTACACCCGTGTGATGGTGGCTGTACACCTGTGTGATGGTGTTTGTACATCTGTGTGATCAGTGGCGTAGCCAGGATCGTCTCAAGGGGGGGGGGGTCCAAAATTTACCCGAGGACAAACTTTCGATTTGCACCCCCCCCCTCATACTTTATATATATATATATACCGAGGGGTCTACCCCCCTGCCTAAGCCACTGTGTGTGATGGTGGTTGTACAAACACCTGTCCTGTGTGATGGTGGTTGTACACTTGTGTATTGGTGGTTGTACACCTGTGTGATGGTGGTCATATACCTGTGTGATGGTGGATGGTGGCTGTACACCTGTGTGATGGTGGCTGTACACTCCTGTGTGATGGTGGTTGTGTGATATGGGGCCTGGATTGTACTTTTTCTTCCGACCATCTTATTATTATTATTAAATCCTGAATGTTTGCCTGCATTTGCTAAGTCATAAAGCTGTTAGTATTTAAATTCCCCTGCATAAGCTAAAGCTTAAACCCGTTGCTATGTAAATAATGTGTCAGATAATATCTCATTATCATCGTCTGATTTACAAATGGTTAAATATAGACTAGACCAGGGGTCGGCAACCTGCGGCTCGCGAGCCGCATGCGGCTCTTTTGATATCAAGATGCGGCTCTCCAGCTCCTTGAACAAATACTAATAATCTTAATAAAAAAATAAAATATTTTAAATTAAAAAATGTCAGTGGCTCTTTAAAACCAGGGAAATTTTGAAAATTGTAACTTTTGGCTCTTCAGCTTCAAAAGGTTGCCGACCCCTGGACTAGACTTTTAGGGAAAGCGAATAAATGAAAAACTGGAAACAGGAAACGTGATGAACTACGAGAAAGAAAAACATCTAATGTTGTGGGTAAGTCTTAGCCTAGCTTAGTCACACAGTTACTTTAAACTATAAACTATAAATTCTAAATCAGGGTCTTCTTGTCTATAAATAATCACAGAACAACTCTTCCACATGAAACCCATTTCCATTTTATTTATAAATTTAAAAACCGAATAATAAACACATTGATGATTGATCAATGATTTTATTTTTTAGGCCTGTGACTCAGTAACAACTCGAGTGTTACGAAAACACCTGAAAAGTCAGTTGACTAGGCCTGGCATAGAACTACATCATACACATCATACATCTACACTGGAAAACACTATTGATATATTCAAATCAATGACGGTCTCCTACTAGATCTAACCAAATTTAGAAACCGAAGTAATTTTTAAGATTAACCTGTCGGAAATGTCCATATTTTATTTATTTATTAATATTATTTATTAATAAATTAATATAATACATGTAATAGATCTACATGTGTTTAATATTAGGCAGCAAACACATTATTTAGACTTGTAGTATTGATTAATTAATAATCATTTTAAAAAAACTATTTATTAACTTAAGGTTAGATAGGCTACACCTACTTGCTATGTACAGTTAAGTTTCTTACTAAAAATATAAGCCTTATTGCAATGTGTGTTTCTCAAACCTCTGTTACATAGACATACTTAGAATAATTATCAAGAGATTGCCTATTTTCTGTCTGTGATGGTATGACAGTGTTAGAAATAGAATGTTACCACAGTTTACCGTTATATTTTACTTCATATCTTCAAATTATTTCTAACATTTTTTTAACTCATTAGTCATCATGCCGGGGCAGTGTTATGGCTGTGGTACAGAATTCACTGTATTTAAAAAAGAGGTAGCCCTTTAAAGTTTCCAAATATAAAATATGCAAATTTAGTCCTGTATAATATAGATTAATTCACTTTTTAAAATATTAATCTAAAATATTTATTAAAATTAAAACAAAAGTATTCTCTAAGTAATAACTTTTTTTTTTTACCTAGGCCTAATTTTTCTTTCTTTTTGTTTTTACCTTTTTACTATTTTAGCATGGTTGCAAAAACTGTGGATTTGCATTTTGCACCAAGTGTTTACATGACAAGACTATTCCTGTCCCAAAGAGAAACAATGCCAAGCATCATGTTTGCATCAATTGCTTCAAAATATTAACTGGGTTTGTTTTATTTATGTCTGTCTTGAAGTGCTTGTGTTAAAAAATGAGAGATCACACTCTGACGTTGTTTAAATAATTTTCTGTTTTAAATACATATACCACACACTTTTATTCAGTGTATAATGTATTTTTAAACCTATCCATTCTGACAATTTATATAGATGTAGTATTTCAGGTCTTGCTGTTGATGATATCTTTTTCTGATGTCATGAAATATACAACATTTCTTCTACTATGTTTTTATAACAGTTCTAATACCAGTTGTTTGAATAAATTAATAAAATTTTAGATTACATCATGAACTAATTAAATTTTCTCATTTAAAGTGCTGCCCCTGTTAGTACAGGTCCAACAAACATGGAGCTACCTGAAGCATATTTAAAGTAAGATTTTGCCCTCACCCTCAAGTTATCAGTTTGATAAATTTAATTTAGTAAATCTTAAAGATGTAAGTAGAACGTGCCAGAATCCACCCTAACTCATGTTAGTGGGTGTAAACACAGCTGGGCAAAGTGCTGACCACACCTTCCCTTCATATGCCTGGGTGAAGAAACATATGAACTCTACTTCCAATGGATCACTTGGTCTAAAGAAGATTACTTTACTTTAAGGCTTAAAGATAGCTCTATAATAAGCTAATCATTTTTTTTTATCCACAGGAGAATGGCTGCCCTCAAAGAGAGAGAATCAGGAACTGCAGTGCATTCTAGTGGCACCAGCACAGCTAAAGTTCCAGACCATCTGCGTCGTCTAGACAAAGCTGATAGAGAGATAGCGCTGCGGTTGGAAAAATTAAAAGAAACTAGTCAACCTAAAGGTCAGATTTAAACATTCTTTTTCATAAGTTTGCTGAAATTTTATTTATTTATTATGGTTGTTTTATCTTGTTTATTTTAGAACCAACATCAGACGCAGTATTAAAGGAACGTCTGGCAGCTTTAAAAGGTCAGCCTGTTCCAGCAGACAAAAAGCCAGTAAGTTTTCAACCACCACATTTGAAACTTTTATTATTGTTATAGTAAGTGCTGTAGAAAGTACTAATTTGGATATGAATTTAGGGATATTACATTTAATATGGCTGATCTAAAATCAACAATAATTATATACTTCATTGTAAAAATAAAATGTTTACATTTTTTCTTGATGCTCAATTCAAATTTAGATGAAAAATAACATGGTTACATTTTTTAATGCATAACTCAAAATTTAAATGTAAAATAAAATGTCAAGTCTCCCAAAAACTTTTTGATGCTTAATTCAAAAAAAAAATAAAAAGTTCAGACCTCAATCTTATTTGATAATAATTCAAATTTAAGAGTAAAATAAAATATTAAAACTCGCAACATTTCTTGATGCTTAATTCAAATTCAAAGTAAAATAAAAAGTTAGGACCTCACCCTTACTTGATAATAATTCAAATTTAATTGTAAAATAAAATATTAAAACTCGCAACATTTCTTGATGCTTAATTCAAATTCAAAGTAAAATAAAAAGTTAGGACCTCACCCTTACTTGATACTTCATTCAAATTTAAGTGTAAAATAAAATATAAAAAACTCGCAACATTTCTTGATGCTTAATTCAAAGTAAAATAAAGTTAGGAACTCACCCTTACTTGATAATAATTCAAATTTAATTGTAAAATAAAATATTAAAACTCGCAAAATTTCTTGATGCTTAATTCAAATTCAAAGTAAATTAAAAAGTTAGGACCTCACCCTTACTTGATAATAATTCAAATTTAATTGTAAAATAAAATATAAAAACTCGCAACATTTCTTTGATGTATACCACAGGTGTACCAGGCCCCAGACAGGCGATGTGAGACCCAGATGGTGGATGACTTGCTGGAACAGCTGACACATGAGGTGGAAATGGACAGTCGCCTGCCAGATCCTGACCAAGAAATTGAAAGGAGGCTCAGGCAACTAAGAGAGAAAAAAGGTCACGGCTCGCCTCATACAATTGAGTCGCTACTTTATTTTAAACTATTACTTTTTTCTTTAAGCTATCACATGCCGTTTTCAAAATGCTACCTGATTTAAAAATAAATTAAACATATTTCCATGTGATCTGAGATTAAAATTTATATTTCAAAGATAAATATTTTAAAAATTGCCTTAATTATACAACTACGTCCTGTAAGTTTTAATAAAATACCAATTAAAAAAAGCAACTTTTATTTGTAACTAAAACAATTTTCTACTACAATATAAAAGAAGTGCTGCTTCAAAATATCCCTCTTGTCTCTCCTAATTAAAAAGTTTTTGTAACTCTGTAGAAATAAACCCACGATATCGTTAAGACACCACCGCAAACATGCTGGCAATTTTTTCCCTCTTTTGATCTCACAGGTGAAAATCCTGTGCCTGGTAAACCTTCTGTTGAAGAGAACAACCTTGACCTTTCTGACAAGAATGGCAAGGCTACTGCCAGTAACAATTTGAACACGGTGGATAAAATGGTACCACTGGTAAAGCCTTACAGTAAAAACATCAGCGCAGGGGAGGACGGAGGTTTGTCTTTTCGACTTTTTGCATCTGCTCCTACACATTGTTAACACTGCAATAAAAAAGTTAGGCAACCGCTCCTACATATTAACATTTCAATACAAATTTTGGCAACATTGCTAAAAATTTATTAAAATGAAGAAATACTGAACACTCTATGTCGTTTGTGAGCTTCCATGTAGAGCACTAACTCTCAGTCAATGGACAGAGTAATGTCCCCTTTCAGACCTGAACTGATGATAGCCACATGGGCAAATGGTGTTAATCTGTGTAAGCCTTGTTATGTAAAGAGATTGCCTAGTAGCAATTTACTTTTCAAGAACATGGTAGACTCATGCCTGGTACCCATCTGAGCTGGGTGGACTCAGGGACATCTTATGTGGGCTTGAGCTTGGTAACTGAACTGAAGGTGTGCTTGACCCACATGATCCCACTGTATGCAGTGAATAAAGAATGGATATAACTTACTCCATCTGTGCCAAAATGCATCAGTGTAGATTTGATTATAACCACTCACAAGGTCTGTAACAAAACATATCAGACTTTCTTTTCTTTAACCAAAACTGAATACAAAGTAAAAACTGACATTCACCTATTTTATTTTTTTTTAGAAATGTTTTGTTTTGTTGACATGAATTCAAGTTTTTAACTGCTTAATTTAAAAACATTTAACAGGTGAGACAGGAGCAGAAAGCAGCGCAGACGCAGTGGAGATACAGAAACTACTGAGTGAGGTTGCCAAAGATCTGGAAACTGATGCTCAGAGAGGGATAGAGGAACTACAGAAGGACAAAGCCTTGTATGATAAACTTAAAGAGATTCAGTCTAAGCAAGAGAAACAAAAACATGGTTAGAATGCTGTTATATATATATTTGAGGGATAGTTTAAATTAAAATGCTTTTAGAAATTTAATGGTTTACTATTGCATATTCTAAACTTTAAAATCTGGAATATTTTGGTTTTGATATGAAAATAGTTTTTGTATTCAAAATTTTCTTATTTGAAATTTTATAATCTTATATGTTTTATTTAGGCAGACAACAGCGTTTGTATTCTAAATTTTAAAGTTTTTGAACAGCTTCATACAGGGTCCGTAGCGGACCTTGAATCCTTGAAAAACCCTTTAATTTTATTTTGGGATTGGGCTATGGACCTTGTTGATAAAAATAAAATGTGATGCATTCTAAATAATCAGAGCTTACATTTTAAATATTGATTATTTTTAAAATTAAAATAAAAGGTTTCATATTCTTAATTTGAAAAAATTTACATTATTTATTTAGTTTAACCATATAACATGGTGTATCCACAGATCCAGGAAAAGTAACGGACAGCTCCGCTGTATCAGGAGACTCCGATGAAGAGAATGAAGATGTTGCAGCTGATAAATTAATTCATCGTTATTTAGCGGAAGCGCGACTGGACGAGACAGTAGAAGCGCCAGAAGAAAAACAAACTAAGAAAAAGAAGACTGGAAAGAAGGAACCCAAGTCACTCAACATTGAAGTAATTCTATTTTTATCAGTGGTTAGGTCACATGATCGCTAACTCAAAAGTTTGGAGTTCAGTTCCCAGCGTGTGCTGTATGATGGTGTTGTATGATGGTATTATTGTGCCCACCAAACTCTGATGGGAAATTGAAGGCGCCAGGGCATGAACCATAGTTAATAATGGTTTTGGTTCATGAGGTACATCTGCCCTAGGGACTGTGAAGTGTTCTTTTCTTCTTCTTCGTTCTTAATTTTTAGTGTTGGAAGGGATCAAGCTTTTGCCGACTCGACCACGCCTCCATCACAGTTAAGGATACGTGTCAACTGGTTATGCGCCATTGAGGCCATTGACTCAGATTTCAGCCTGCTTTTCTTTTTGGATTTGCTTCCATAGCCTTTGTCCATCCAAGAACAAACTACAGTAGTTGTTTGATTTTGGAGTTTTCTCTAATAGAAGAGTGGCTGTCCCCAGCTAACGAGCCTCATCTGCTCAGGGATTCGAACTTGAGACTTTTCGGTTTAGCAACCATGAGCTTTACCGACTCGACCACGCCGACCCCTGTGAAGTGTTGATTGGGTCTTTTTTTTTACAATGAAACACATGAAACAACATCCAGCATTTTGTTTCTCTGACGGCCAACTTTCTCCATCAAATACTTGCCCATCTCAGTGTACTAGTTGATTTTAGCTCGTATCAGTAATTTGTAGACTAATAATGGTTTTATAGGTATGGCATGGTGAGGTGGTAGAGCACATTACTGCTAACCTGAAAATGTCAATTTCTCAACCCGGACTTAAGTCTATAAACATACCTGAATCCACTCAACTCTGATAGATACCTGACTCACTTTAGGGAAAACTAAGGCTTGTGGCATAGTACTAATACACTATCCCTTTATATGCTGAGGTCATTAAAAGCGTATTTCATCTACCCAGTGTGTCTTGAGCTCTGATGGGAAAAATGATGATTGTTTTTTTTTTCAACTTAACTGCCCTCTCTCACTAGATCATACACAATCTGGTTCACCTATATAAGTAGGTCATAACATAACCCTCTGTAACTATTACACTAAATCAAGGTCAACAAAGTTACAGTTATTAACCTTGTTTCAGCCTAGCCCAAGGAAGGATAACTCTGACAGCGATTATGATGACAGTGATGAGCTGCCCTATTGCAGTATCTGTACAGAGGACGCTGTTGTCAGGTGTCGAGACTGCGACTTAGACCTGTACTGCAACAGGTGCTTTAGGTAAACTCATTTACCTGTAGTCAGGGTGGCATGCATACATTTAGTGTGACCAGTATTTAAAATTACCCATGCTTCATTTACCTTTCCTATTTCTAATATTATCAGTTTTCAATATAACTTTCTTTTCTTAATTATATGGTAACAACATTAGTTCATTTCATCATTATACTTACTAAACATAACTTCAAATCTTTCAAAATTACTTTTTTATCTAGTCATTTTTTTAATATCCCTTTTTTTTTCAACACACTTTTAAAAAGACTGTTGTCTAAATTGAGTTTTAAAAAAGTAAACAATTTTTATACTCTCTCAGTAACCAACAGGATGTTTGGTTGATTTTGTAATCAGTTATGCTAAAGTTTGTAGATTTCCTAATCACTCGTGTGGGAGTTGGTAGATTTTCTAATCAGGTGTTGAATTTGGTAGAGTTTCTATTCAGAGTTGTTGAATTTGGTAGATTTTCTAATCAGGTGTTGAATTTGGTAGAGTTTCTATTCAGAGTTGTTGAATTTGGTAGATTTTCTAATAAGTTGTGTTGAATTTGGTAGATTTTCTAATCCCATTTTAATATTACAAAATATACCACCTCTCACTTGACAGATTAGAAAATCTATCAAGTGCTTAGAAACATGACCACTGGAATTAACATTTTTTTATTAAAAGGGGATTATGATGGATGGCTTTATGGTGTGGTGACAGTTAATCCACCCACTATTGATTATGAAGCCCCAGTAGTGAATGCATTGTCTTGTGGATGCAACATAAGAGGTCAACAGCTGTCAGCCACCCCCCCCCCCCTCCACCTTTCCTCCACATCTGCCTTGTGAAAACTTGTAAGATCTTTCTATCCACAATCTCATCTTACACAAGTTTTCATTTCAATTTTGGTGGATCCTTTTCCTTGCTATTTGTTTACATGAAAAAAAAAATGTATACAATTTTTAAAACTTTCAGTTTCAGTTTTTTTTTTTGCTTTTTGTATTATGATAAAAAAAAAAATTCTGTAAATTTTTGTTTCCTTTATAGGGAATGCCATGCTGAGTTTGGTGTCACCCATCACAGAACTGTACCTTACACAGCCCCAAAAGGCTACAAATAAACTTATGTGATTTTTATACCTCTATTTATTATTGTATATTTATTATTGTACTTACGTTTATAAATTTTTTAACGTTTCATGTGAACTATGTACCCAGGGCATAGCAATTGGTGAAACTAAGGAAATAACATTAAGACCTGGTATATCTGCTCTTTAGAATAATCAATTGGCAGTGTATACTTTTTGATGGTTGTTTTTTGTGATAGTTGTATCTTAACCACAGTATCTTTTCTTATGGCTTTACTCTGATTCCTCTTCTAATGGAAAAAGTTGTACATTTGATTTTACCAAGGACTTGAAAAAAGAAACACATTCCTAATTCAGTGTATTCTAATTCTATGGATACAATTTGAAGTTATGTCCCTTTGACTATGCTATGTAACATGTTAATAGAGTTGAAATAAATAAGGCATGTTTTGCCACAGTTGAATGATGCTAAGCAATGTAGTAAATAATCATTGATTCAATGCACAAAAATTGTTTCTATAGTCTTTTTCTATTTAATTATCTGAAGACTAAAGAATGCTGGTGGTGCTATTTATTTTTAACCTTCAAATTTTTATAATTTTTTTTACAAATTGTTTGTTATTAAACGTGTATTAAAATAACTAAAGTTATTTTAAATTATCTCCTGCTGGTGTATTTGCTATAGCACTGTGAAGTTCTCTGTCCTGCTGAAGTATGGGCTGCATGGGTCACCAACAGCTCCAGTCATACACCTCTTGTGTGTGCTCATGGTGAAGGTTTCAGTGAACAGGTAATATTCTCATTGTGAACCTTTTCTATGAGAGGTGGCTAAATGTTAGTCTCCAATGCATGTTAAATGTTACACTGATGACTTTTTAGAAATATTACAATTAAAAGAGCAGAGCTGCAAATAAAAAAAAGTCTAAAACTGCTGATGAACCCTCTTCACAATAGACTTCACTCTCCACCTGTCTTTGGAGATGCTTAAAATACAATAGATTTGCATGACTAAAAATGATTGCGCACCAAATGAATATAATAGTGCGGGATAGTAGTAGCAGGACAACCTACTACTTTCAGAAAATTTTAATAAATTCATAAAAAAAGTAATTAGGCATCCTACTAAGTCAAATTTGATGTCAGATTGTCTTCAAGTCTTGACCCATGAGACAACTTTGAAATGAATTGGTAAGTTAGAAGTGGTCAAAATTTCGCTTGCTCGTTTTGATACATGAGGACAGTGAAATAAAAACTTGTAAAAAAAAAAGGTGTCAGTTTTACTTATTAAAAAAAATATAATTTTCATGATCTATCTTTACTCACCTATGTAGACTAACCAAAGTAAAAAAAAAAATTTCTTGTCTTTGAATAATAAAAATGTATTGCCAGCAAACAAATGACATTTTTTTAAAGAACATTTCTTGAAACATATTTTTTTTTTAAAAACACCAGACATTACAATTTCTTGGAAAAGATATGACAATTTCGGAACACGTGAAATTTAACATCGGGGTTCTTTAAAAATATAACCAATATATTTCTCAGAACATGATATTTCTATGTACAGTAAAAAAACCACACATTACAATCTCTCACACAAAGAGAGCAGCGGCACTCAATTTTTAAAAAAAATAAAAAAGCAGGTTATGTAATAAAACTAGCCACAAGTTTATACATCAATTTTTGCATACACGAAATAAATTAAACAGCAATGCAGGAAAAAAAAATAGTATCACAATTTCAGCTTAGTTTGTGAACAAAATGGTAGGCGCCCTATCACTAAGTGTTAACCAATGGTAGGCGCAATTCATTTATTGAAGTGACCAATAGTAGACGCCCTTTCGTTTAACTGTTAACCAAAGGTAGACGCCTCCAATAAGTGTGAACAAACGGGAAGGCGATAAACATTTATACAATGAACATGGCTTATGAATTTTTGGAAATTCATGGGACTCATCAATAAAATATAAACGGTAGGCTCCAGCGAGTTTTCACAATACTTTTTTCAATAGTTATAGAGGTTGTCCACAAATGACGCCACGTTCCCGCGCTACCCCGCACTTTCTACTATTTTTTTCCCCAAACTACATGTCTTCAAAATTTCAATTTTTTTTACTTTGAAATTTTTTGTATTAAGTAAGCCTAAATGAGCTGGATAAAGGTTAGGATTCTTGTCAAATTTTTTAAAAATTAAAAAAGAAAGTATTTAAATTGCGAAATAATTTCTAAAATTCATTCGTAAAAATTAGACAGGCGTATTGGACAAGGGGAAAACACTAGGAAAGAGCAAACGACGAAGGGCGACAGACAACTATTCATCTTTGTTTATGTGGAGTCGCGTCCCCTCGGCCTTTGCCCTGTGCCGCTTCCATAACTGGATTAAAGTTTGCATAAAATCATCCATTAGCCGCAGCGCGTTCTGCTTGATAAAAACCCAGCTGTCGAACGCCTTCCGGCATATGAACGACGTGAGATAGAGTTCTTGATGGAAGTGCCGCCTCATCTCCTCAGACAGCAAGCGGATGACGCCAATGTCTTTCGCGACGTCGATGGGCATTTCTTTCTGCGCGGTGAGCGCGAACACGTCCGCACCGTAGAGCACCAGCATGCTGGCGATCTGGGTAAACCCGCAGGCGGCCGCAGTGTGCAGCGGGGAAAAGCCGTGGACGTCCTGGGCGTTGACGTCGGCGCCGTTGCACAGCAGGAGCTTGACGGCGTCGAGGTTGTTGCTGAGCACGCCGTGGTGCAGGGCGGTGAGCCCGACGTGGTTGACCTGGTTGACGCGCACCTCGTCGCCGTGGTTGTCCAGGATGCGCACCAGCTCCGACGTGTCCGCATCCTGAACGACGGCCGTGAGAACCGAGTCGGCGGAGAAGGAGATCCGGCGCTTGATGTCGCCGCTCATCCAACCGTGGCTCCGAGAAACGTCACGTGATCCTGGGAGCGGAGGGGTTTCCCAAATCCAGCAGGCGTGTCCTTGAACTTCCTTTTTGTTTTAAAGAATGTTCACCCGTCGTCGTTAATCAAAAAGTTCCAACATCTTGGAATTTAAAAAAAAAAAGCCGTTTGTCAAGTTTGATGGTGAAATGTTTTCCTCCACAAAAAAAAAAAATTCATTCGTCAAGAAAAAAAAAGCCGAAATCTGAAAAAAAATATAATCTTGGATTAGTTTATGAAGTTTTTTTTTTTAACAAATCACAATTCTAAAATAACGACTTACTCGTTTATTTATTTATTTAAAATCAATTTAAAGTAAATTTAAAAAAAAAAAAAATACATCCAACCCATATTTCAATGACCACTGGTTATCGCCTGTGTCTGAATGGATTCTATGGCACACCATCCGTACTACTTTTTATCGATTTTAACGTCAACTCTGATCAACCGCCCGCACTTGAGCCAAACATCACAGATGGCTTGGAGTCTGTTATCTCCCCTGCTATCAATATGGCGGGAGAAAGGGGGACAACTTCTTACACACGTGCTATTCTGTGTTTCTTTCAGGAACCTCTACCGCTCTCCCCCCCCCCCCCCTGAACGAAATAGAATTTATCTAGAAAATATATACTTTTACCAGTGTCGTCGTCGTCACCCCCCCCCCACCCACTCTTAAAAGTTTAAAGTGTCGTTGTCCCTTTGGTAAGGTTCTTCATCAGTGTTTCCTCCAGACTTTTTTCTCCGTGAGGGCACTTGATATTTTCGGAGGGGCGGACAATATTTTCCGATGGAAGGGGTGGGGGTGGGAAGACGGACGGACGGACCGGGGGGAGGCGGACACTGGTAGAAGTATATTTTTTCTATATAAATTCCATTTCGCTCGGGGTGGGGTGGGGGGGTGGGGGGGGGGGTAGACTATCTTAGGGGTGGGGGAGCCCCCTTGATGAGATGCTTGGAAGAAACTCTGTTCTTCATGCATCATCTCCACTTCGTATGTTATTTAAATCACCAACAGACCACAGAGTGTTACGTCCCTTTGGAGTGGCTATTCGGGGGGGGGGGGGGGGGGGGAAGGGTTTACATCCACACTTCAAACTGAAACAACGGGTGTGTGTTGCATCCACTCTTGAATTGTGTGTGTGTGTGTGTATGTATGCGGACGGACGTGTTTGGGGTGGTAGTGGGTGTGTTCGTGGGTGTGGCTGTGGTTGTCCCATCTCTTTGTGACATTATCTGATCGAGCCCATGCTAAAGAGAGAAGGTAAGAGATACCATAGCCTACAAATTACGTTCAGGATAATGTTAATGTTGCAACTTTTCTATTGGGTTGTGCAGGTATTAATCCTGCATGGAAAGCCTATTATTTCAATTAAACCGACATACCATTTGGTAGTACCAAGGAAGTTGTGAACCAGAAAAAGAAATAGCTACACTCTGTGTAATGAAACGAATAGTAGATCAATCGACCATTTCATGTCCTTTGTAAATTAGAAATGTAAGACAACTAAAGGTTTTCTATTTAAACTACGAATAAATATAACTCTGAAAGTTAAGAAATTTAAGAATAGACAATAAATATGCAAGGGTTTTAATATACAAGTTTATTTTTTTTTTTAAATAATTGATCCTTGTATGACTTAAAAATGTCTATACATTTTAAACAATTTTAACGAACACAGTTGAAGGTTGTCTCCCTTAGTTCCATATTTAATTGTAACTAACGTAACACTGAGTAACACAGATTATACTTCAATGCTAAACAAATCTAAATTTATTTACATTTGTAACTATTTTTTAAACCTAGCGATCCATTGGGCAGATGAAGTAGAGGTCATATGTTTCTTGAACTCGGCATATGAAGGGAAGGTGTGGTCAGCCGCCTTTACTTACCTAACTCATGTTAGGGAAAGTAAGATACCCATCAGAGTAGTTGGGTGGACTCAGGGAGGTTCTACTGACTTGCAGTAGCGTAGCGAGGGGGGGGGGGGGGACATATGTCCCCGGGCGCCGTCCTTAGGGGGGCGCCAAAATGGGTTGGAAAAATAAATTGAACGGTTGAGGGGGGTGCAAATCGAAAGTTTGAGGGGGGGGGGGGTGCAAATGGAAATCTCGAAGGGGGGAGGGGTGCACATCGAAAGTTTGAGGGGGGTGCAAATCGAAATCTCGAGGGGGGTGCAAATCGAAATCTCGAGGGGGGGAGGGGTGCAAATCGAAATCTTGAGGGGGGAGGGGTGCAAATCGAAATCTTGATGGGGGGTTCAAATCGAAAAGTTTGTCCCCGGGTGCCGGGAAGGGTCGCTACGCCTCTGCTGACTTGAACCCGGATTCGAACTCAACGTTCGGGCCGAAAGTGTCCGACTCAATGAGACAAACAATGGAACATTCTTTAAAAAGGGGTGTCAGATTAATGGTAGTAAACTATATACAAGTATGCATTCATAAAATCAATGCTAACCCTATCACTAACCTAAGCACTATACAAAAGTGGCCCTAACCCTAATTTCTGACCCAAACTCTAAACCTGAAATTACAATACTACAAACAATCTAACACGCCTTTTTTTACCCAACTCTTCACCAAATCCCCTACTAACAATACCATTTTACCATAAAACATATCAAGACACTGACCAATCTAAGCCAAGGTGTCCGTTTACTATTACTCAATAAGCCACGCCCATCTTTAACAACCACGATTTGAGGGGGTAGGGGGTACCATGAATTATTCAATGGGCGTCCGGCGTGCTAATTATAACCCATCATCCTTCCGTGGAATGAGGGAATCGATACCGTGTTCGATACGATTGGGCGATTCCCGGCAGACGGTGTCAAGGTCCGCGAACACGTCTGCTGACAACGATCGACATTCAGGTCTGAAAATGATACCTTGCTGCAGGGGGTGTAACAGGGTGACTGGCATGTGCAGGGTGAGGGTGGGTGTGTATGAGGGGGGTGTCATGGGCATAGGGTCTGAAGAGGGGCGGCAGTGGGACGATAGGGAGGGGCTGTCAAAAAGACGATAGGGCGTTCTAATTTCTAAACGCGATGGGGCGTCAATGGACAGTAAGGACAATCGTGGATGTGAAAGGGCGACTGTGTGAGACTGCAGAGGCGTCGCGGGGGGGGGGGGGGGTGCGGACCACACCAGGTGACACCACTTAGGTGGTGATACAAAGAAAAAAATAATTGCAAAATATATAGATGAAAAATTGTTTTTGCCAGTGAATTAATGCTTAATTAGAGTGAAAAAATATTTTAAATACAAATCGACAAGTCACGACAAGGGTGGGGAGGCGACACCATGACATAAACCTGCTAACTGTAGAGAAAACAATGCTACCTCCCAGTGGCGTATATAAATTCCATCTCGTTCGGGGGGGGGGGGGCGGTAAACTTTCTTCGGGAGGGGGGCAATCCCCCCCCCCAAAGAGATGCCTGGAAGAAACTGGCCGTCATGCGACACTTAGCCCTAAACACGGTTAGGGGCTAATGGAAGATTTAGATTTAGAATGCTATTGACACACAGGTAATATTTAAAATTAGATTATATTTACAGCGAGCTACTTAACAGCGAGAGATAAGTTTTGACAACTTTTACCGGGGAAAACGTGCTTTAAAAATTATTTCACAGCAGCATTAAAACAAAAATCAATAAATAAAAAATATTAAGATTTTAACACCTAGAGTCATGCGTCACAAAACAGGCAGAATGATGATATACCTTTTGGAACAAAATTGGCATCAGTTATCCGTATAGATAAAGCACAGGCCGATTATTAGCAGAGGCCGATCGGCTGATCACCATCAACAGCCTTACAAGTTTGTATCCTGAGTTAAAAATCACTGAATTTTTAGTCTTACACTTGAGTTTACACTTGCGACATGTCCCCATTTTAATATTTAATACATACAAGTATTAACAATTTCCAAGTAAATACACATTTGTGATTTTTTTTCCTGTGACTTTTTATTAATATAACCCCCTTACCATACTTTAGGCCTACACGTCTAGAAAAAGAAACTCTCAGCGAGTAAGAATACATGATATATGGGGAAAATATTTTCATTTAACACTAACCTTTTGCCAGATTTTTCCCTAGACATGTGTAGTCTACAAGCAGACATGTATAGTATACATGTAGACATGTATAGTATACATGTCGCAAGTGTAAACGCGGTGTAAGACTAGCATTAACTAGCAAAGACCCACAGTCAGTCAGCAGTCAGCACTAAAAAGCGTCGTGTCCGGTGTTTGAATTACGGCGCCACGTGAATAGACCGTTCACACGTAACAACAAACAATTTGCCGGGGGATGTGTGCTATGTGTGTGTGTGTGTCGCTGTCGCCTCGAGTCACGTGGGTTTTGTTTACAATGCGTGAACTGTTTGGGTTTTTGGCGAGAGGATGGCGCAAGCGCGGTTGGAGAAGTTACACATGTTGAATCTCTGGCGCACAGAGAAAGAAGACAGAGTACAGCTAAAGACAGATTCTACCTAGAAGCAGGTAGAGCATAAATCTAGAGACAGACAGAGCATACCTAGACACAGATAAAGCAGACATATAGACAGGTAGAGCACACTTAGACACAGATAAAGCAGACAAATAGACAGTTAGATCACACCTACAGACAGGTAGAAAACTCATGGGGATTGGTAAAGCATAGGTAGGGCACATCTCGAGACAGGTGAAGCACACTTGTAGACAGGTTGAACACACCTGTAAACAGTTAAAGCACACATGTAGACAGATAGGGATAATCTCGAGACAGGTAACGCACACTTGTAGACAGTAAAGCACATATGTAGACAGGTAGAGCACACCTAGACACAGGTAGGGCACACAAGTAGTCAGGTAGAGCACACCTAGACACAGGTAGGGCACCAACAGAGACAGGCAAAGCACACTCGTGTAACAGGTAATCTATGCGTGTGAGCACACACACACACACACACACACAGCGACAGGCAGTCTGTGTGTGGGAGGACAGATGAATGAGCGAACTCACGTCTGCCAACACCTGGTCAACCAAGTGGGTTAAGTCGACAGCTAGTCAGTTAAGTTTAACATTCCCAGCATTCCCCCCAGGGCTGATACGGGAAAATCCCCGAGCTGATAAATGAAATCTTGTTATTAAAGAAAAAAAAAGATAAGAAACGTGTGGGTGGGGAATGAGATTTAAGCACAGATTGACGCGTTGATTGGCAC